CTGGTCGTGGATGTCTTCACGTTCTGCTGCCGTAAGCCCTCACAACCCCTTTGAGCACTCACGAAAAAAGCTGCGGGAGGCATCCAGACACACACGTCCTTTCAAGAGTCGAGTCTGCGCGCTTGACATGATGCGTTCAGTGGGGAAAGTGCCCTAGCAGTGCTAGCAGTGCAAGGTACTTTTCATGGCGCAAGCACTCGCCTGTGTTGGTGCGGCTAGAAGCGGCGACTCCACTGGTGAAACATCATTTGCATACAGCCATGTCAGCTGTGATGCCATGGGCGCCAGCTCCACACTTGTGTTGGGGCTTGCGAATTTTTCCCTTCATTTCAGATGGCCCGAATTGGATAGGTCGGGTGCTGCTGGAGCGATTGTTCCAGCTCAGTGTGGGAGAGCAGGGTCGGCCCATCCTTGAGAGAGTCCAGGTAGAGGAACTGGTTGTCTCCCCGGCGCTTCAGAGCAACCCAGTGCCGACCGTTTCGGTTTTGGATGGCGCCCAGGCACTCGTGCAGATCCTCAACGCGCAGGGCTCGCCTGTCTGACATCTCCCAGCAGAGACGGTCGAAGGCTTGCATGGCCTTGGTCCGCACGGCCATCAGGAGCACTTCGATGGAATAGTCGCCTCCAGGACCCACGTGCAGGTTTGCATCATCCCCGAGTTCCCAGTTCTCCTCGAGGAATGCTGCCACTGCCTGCTCGAGGTCGGAGACGTCGAAGTGACGCGCGCCCAAGGCGTTATTGAGCGCATGGATGCCGCACCTGAGCTCCGCTTGTTTCTCGAAGTAGCAGGCGGCTCCCTCGAGCTGCTGCGCTGCGTCTGGCTGCTGCTCGCCTTGTTGTTCTGGGCCGCGTCCATGTTTTGCAGCTTTTGCGGGCGGAGTGCCCTGCGGCAACTCGACTGCCCCGCGCTTGCTGCTGAGGCTGCTGCTGCCACCTGCCCATGTTTTGGCTTTGCTCTGAGCCTTGCCCCTGGTTCTGCGCTGGGGTTTGGCTGGGCAGTGCTTCTGGTGCTGCTTGATGTCCGCCTTGTTGTCCGGGACTTCCTTGCCGCATTGCGGACAGCGCCAGGGCAGTCCCGACTCTTCCAAGCCCTTCTCCATCGCCGCCCAATCTGGCGTGCCCATCTCGGCCAGTCGGGTCTTGTAGAAGTCCTTGTTTTCAGGGGGCTGGAATAGTTGCTTCCACAATGCGGGTCCGTCTCGCTCGGCCTGTTGGAGCTTCAGCTTGGTCAAAGCCCAGTCTGCGTTCTCGTTGAAGCAGAGCGCCTTGCGGTTGAAGAACTCTAGGGTGCAGAGGGCTTGCCGTGGGCAGCGGCTCAGAGCCACGTAAGCTTGGCCTGGCTGTCTGCATGTTGCATCCAGGCGGGAGTGGGCACCGTCGTGCAAGGTGGCCGCTTGGCTTTTGTGGATGGTGGTGGCCTTGGCGAGCACGACCGGGAACTGCATCCTGGATGCCTTCTTGCCATCCTTGTCGAAGAACGTGACCGACATGCGGGAGATTGCGACGTGGTCGCTCTGATGCTCTGCCCGCCACTTGGCCCCCGCATTCTTTTCGAACGCAATCCAAACGTTCTCGACCTCGCCCGTCTCCTCGTCCGCGTCGATCGCCTCCACAAAGCCGCAGGCCCCGTTGACCAAGCCGTCCTGGACGTCCAGGTTGCGTTTGAGCATGACGCGGACGCCGACCGCGAGCTGAAGCAGCGCTGCCAATCCTCCGGTGTTCTCCTCTTCGGCCCATGCTGCCTCTGCGGATAGCGGCGCCCCGCTGCTAAGGCTGGTGTCCATGGCAGGGCACTCGTACAGGTGAGCATTGGTTCTGTTGATGTGCTCTTCCATGTATTCGCGGTTGCTCTGCCTGACCGCCTGGCGTGTGGGGTACAAGTGTACTGCCTTGGGCGCAGGCTGCTTGCAGCCCTTCTTCTTCTTCACCACCATGCCGTACAGCTCCTGGATGTCCTCCTCCGTGTACGTTCCAACTCGGACGCGGGCCAGGAGCGCTGC